AGGCGGGGTGCTCGGGGCCATCTCGATGTGCTTTTGTCGCTTGTGCAGGAGGCGGAAAAATTTGAAAGTGACGCATGTCTAAAAATGCCTCTTCAATAACCTTCGAAATTTAATAAACTCTGGTTAACGCAGTGCGCTTCTGAGAAATCATGACATCAAGCTGGCCCCCGCTCATTAATGATACCTGGAAAGCGTAACAAACTCAACGTGTGTGTATACTCAATGATTCACCAAGAATCACAAATCGCCGCAATGGTGTTGTTGACCGTATACCATGCACTTCAACAAAACGCACTCAGCCAAGTACATAAACCTATAAGCAACTAAACAATTCTTAAGAACAAGGGTCACTTTAAAGTAGAGGAAATCATGAATATCATTTATACATAATTTTTAAACATATTTACAGTCCCTAAGCAATGCAAATTAAAAATTTTGTTTTAATTGATTCAGTTCTCAAATAATATTTCAAAAAAAACTCAACTAAGATGCACAGGATACATTGACGCAATCGAACCCACCATTTACTTCAGGAACCTCCGCACTTGATCGACTTAATGCTGCATAGCTTTACCAATCATTTTTTCTCCTGACACTCTGTTGACATTACGTCCAATTTGTCACTGTTTCAATTCAGACTTGTTGTATCTAAATTAGTTTGCCCTGTCAGTCATATCTTGCATGATACTCGACTAAGTTTTAGCTCTCTTATCTTGAAGCATAAACAGAGCGCTTTTTAGTTTTGCTGTGATTGGCTCACCTTTCTTGACTTGTTGTCCCGGATGTAGTTGTGTAACAAAGCATTTTCGCCATCCACAAAACTGTTTCAACGATAAAACTTATATAGCAGTTTACTTCTTTATTGTTTTAATCGTGCCAACGCAAGAGAGTCGTTTTTCTGCATAGGACAGTAGTAGTACGAATGTAGGCTTTCTATTGGAGGGATTATGGGCAAGGCCCGTTTACAGATATATGCTTGAGCGACATAGCATAATATTGTGCTGGATATGAAGCTGAGACCCTGATGATATGCTTAAATTTATTCAGACTGTGTTCATGTCTGAATATTTTAGACGTGCTAGTTTTTGTCAAAATACAATGAGTTTTATCTATATCATTTTTAGAATTCATCATCGTATGTTTATGAGGAGAAGCAAAGGCCGTTTGTTCTCTTCCCTTTACACATGTTTTGTATTATGTATTTAGCTGGTTGAGAAATTCGACTGGCTCACAAGATTCCTTGATATATTCATGCGTCCCATTCCAGTCTGCCGTCCCAAATAATTCGTAACTTCTTCAATCGAAACTCCAAAAAGCGAATATGCTAACGCGTGCGATGTAGCATGCCCTCAACCAGAACTGCGATTAAGCAAATTGTATCAGCTGATGCTGGCTTTTGTCTTACTCCAATCAGGCATATCCCACTGAAGACGCGAAGTTTCGTATGGCTTCGCAGGTTTTGCTTTTTAATGAATAGATTATTTGCCAGGATCACAAAGATAATTTTAGTCATTATTCAAAATCTCGAGCACTCAGTACTCAAAACAGCCATGACACGTTTTTCTTACCGATTAGCAGGCATTGCCGCCTTGACTTATGCAACGCAGGTGGATACCCAGTTAGCAAGCAATATCAGCAGTCAGCCTACTGGCGTGCAAAAAATTGATATTGGCGTTGGATGCGGTGCAAGTGCTACATACCCGACTTACACTGATGAATATACCACCCAACCGCGATTCGCTTACACGATTTCAAATCGTCTGGCTCAATTCATCTCCGTACACTTTACAAATTTCAACCTGCCAAAGAACGATTTTGTCAAAATCCGTGCAGCCAATTTGGATGACGAGGAAACCACGGTGCTAGAATACAACGGTGACGATACAAGTGGTCAATTCTTTTCGACGGCTTTGCAAACAACATCCATCGTTGTAGAGCTATATACCCAGAGGACCGATCCCAGTGCTAGTACACAGCCTGTCAACAGGTTTCTTTGCCTAGGCTTTACCATCGATAGCTACCGATACTTGGCACAACCCGCGAACAATGACTTGTCCAAGTACGAGGAAGTGTGTGGTGCAGATGAAAGCCAGCAAGCAGTATGTTACGCAGCCGATCCTAATGTTTCTAAGGCAGCAGGTGCTGTCGCTCGCTTACTTATTCACAAGTCAACGGGCTCTTACTTTTGCACGGGATGGCTCGTGGGCACTGAAGGCCACCTTATCACTAACAACCATTGCATATCTCAACAGGCACACGCTAGCAATACGGAATTTGAGTTTAACGCTCAGGGTGCGACTTGCAACACCAATTGCAACAAGGGATTGGCATGTGGTGGTCAAGTGCGAGCTAGAACGTCGACGCTCATAAACGCCGACGCCACACTCGACTATGCCCTGCTCAAACTTCCCATAAATTTGTCCGAAGAGTACGGATTCTTGCAATTGCGAGAGAAAGGAGCTGTTCTATCTGAGCGGATCTACATTCCTCAACACCCTGCAGGATGGGGCAAGCATATCGCAATGAAAACGGACAACGGGTGGGGCCAAGTTACTTCTTTGAATCGAGCCGGCTGTGCCAGGGATCAGGTGGCGTACATGCTAGACACGCAAGGTGGATCATCTGGTTCACCTGTTATTGCTTGGTCCGATAATGCTGTTATCGCACTGCATCACTGCGGTGGATGCCCAAACACAGCCATTAACAGTTACAAGCTCGTCGACGACATGAAAGCTCGCAACATCCTTCCTGAGAATGCTGTTGCGTCAGGGGTATGGTCACCTTCACCTTCACCTTCTCCCTCTACCACTTCAGTGCAGACTTTAGCCCCTTCTCCATTACCCACCTTAACGAGTAAGACGATAGTGGACGGTACGATTACGTCGACAGCATCATTTACGTCGGTAGACTATGTGGATTTCGAGCTCTTGTCAGAGGCTGCGGTCGAGCTAGATATCCTCTCAATGGAAGAATTAGCAAGTGGAGGATATTTAGATGTAAACAAAGATTGCAATGCTGGCTATATAAACTCCAGTATTGTTCTCTTTCGAGTGAACAGTGCCACTGGAGCAATGACACTTCTTACGACAAATGATGACGCCCCTGCAAACACCGGCACTGCCGATGGATCAATTAGCACCGCTGACTCGTACATATACACAGAATTAGGACCAGGTCACTACAGAGTGGCAGTGAGCGCATCAGGGCTCACTCCAGCCCAAGCGGCGAACAAGAAAATGCCGCTGTCTTCACAAGTTCATGTCTGCGACGAAAAACCATCAAATTACGGAAACTATAGACTAACGCTCAGCTCTAGTGCGACTTTGACAATTGCTGGACCGAACAGCTACATTGGTTCTCAGTGCAATGTATCGTCTCCAAATGCTACATACAGAATGTGTCCTTACCACCGCGAAGCAGCTCTCGCCTATGCTACTGGTGTAGAAGGGTCTATTATCCGCAGTCAAAGTGCTGTATCCGTCGATCATATTCCCTTCAAAGTAGGGTCTTTTAATCGCATTACAATTGAAGTGGCATCATATGGAAGCACTGAAAACATGAAATTTGTGGATGTTAATGGAAATTGCGATAGCGCCTACGTAGATGCAGTGGCCTACTTGTTTCAAGCAAATTTGGCGGGTTTGTCAGCAGCTGATGTGGTGAATTATGTAGACGACGACGACAACTTTGGAAAGCGTGCGCACTATCGCTCAATCAGTTTTCGAGACCCGTATATGTCGTTGGCACTACCTGCAGGGGATTACATTCTTGTGGTAGGACGCTACCCACTGAGTTTAGAGGATGCGATCGCACGCAAGAGCTCCATGTCTGTTGATAAGCTTACACCTCAATCCTGTGGCAAGTTGTCAGATCGTGGCAATTACCTGGCTATCGTAAGCTCAGCAGTTAGATTAAATATTACGTCACCTCACTCCTTTTCTGGAAGGCGGTGCCCAAGTGCACTAGGCAGACAAGTCTGCCCTGCGACAATGATCCGCCTAAATGACCGACAGTAAAACATTCACTACTTATTTCAATATCAAATAGTGTCACTTTCTAGTTGTCAACTTGCTAAACGAAGACCTATAGCTCGTCAAATTTGTGGTAAATAATAGCATGAAAAATAATTCTCACTCACTGGTTTGATGAGTGAGTGGAAGATGCGCGATTCTATTTGAAAATTTAACTTCTAGTTCGTCGGTCGGCTTCACATCAAAACGCGTGACGCTGCAGTGACATATGGGCGCGCCAAGCTGGATGATTTCCCTCGAAACCTTGTAAGACTGCGCCATACAGTACTGGATAAAACTTGTATGAGCAATGACAAGCATAAATTTCTCCAATTCTCCTTTCGGCCCACGTGCAAAGTCGTCATCTCCATTCGAACGGCAAATGTAGTGAAACGCCATTTTATGCATTGATTCGCGGTAATCGTATCGGTGAAAAATGTCCACATTCTTTGGTGCGCCATCTTCAAGAAGGCAGCATTCATATGATTGAGCAAGCCACGGCATCTCTTTCACAAAAATTGCGGCAGTCTCGACTGTTCGTCGTAAGCCTCCATAAATAAGAGTAACATTCGGGTTGTCATTTTCTCGAACGAAAAACATTTTGTTGAGAGACTTGGCTGTGATCTTAGCCTGCTCCTCTCCACGCTTAGTAAGTCTCTTGTCTCGATCACAAACTCGAAAATTGATATTCTGGGTTTCTCCGTGACGGATAAAAATAAGACGAACCACTCCTCGATGAGTTTTAAAGCTTTTGTTTGGTGGATACACCTCAGATCGCAAAGATCTAGGAAACAATACGTTCCCCACTTCATTCGTACCATCTGCAATTTGTTGCGGCATGAGCGTTGGTTGACTCATGCATTTGTGAAGTAAATGTGGCTCTATCGGGACATAAGCGGCCACTTGGATGGACCACCACCACAGAAACATATCTTGCTTGGTCTGATAGCGTAAAACGCACGTCTTATATCTACCTTGGAAAAGAAAATCAATTTGCATGATGTTATCTTTTAAATTAAGAAGCTTTAATTTTCCACCAGAGACAGGGATCAAAGTCCGTTTACGTTGAACAGTGTCTTGGTATTTCCGTACAACTAAAATGCCAACAAACAGCTCGGCCCAGCTCTTATGCCATGTGGTGATACCCAATTTTACTCGTCGACTTTCGAGGTACCCACAAAGCACAAAGTCTTCACGTCTAACAGTTTTTTTCACTGCATAATCGTGAGATCCCATGGGAAAATCAGGGCGGTCTTCACTGAAGTAAAGCTCCACCTCGTCAATGGTAAAGCGTCGCGTAGTGTATCCGTTCTGAGGGACGGCTCGAACCGCACTGGGTGTCCGGTAGTGTGGGTCCATTTGTTGTCGGTGGTTCTCTAAGTCACTCATATTAGCAAAACGCACGACTTTGGAGCTCTTGGGTACATGTCTTTCCTCCTTAGAATGATTAATTTGTTCTCTGTGATGTACAGCGACAGTCATTGAGGCGATGACAAGAATGAACGTGATATGTTTGGTCAAGAAAGCAAAAGGGCGCGTGTGTGGTCTTGCACAAGGCAACTTGCCAATGACCGTCCGTCAATATTTTTGAAGTTTTTTCGCGAAGCAAGCCGGATAAATTTGCCGGATACAACCATCTGATAAATGAAAAAGTTGGCTGGCGTTTTTTCTTTAATGACCGTAGTCTTATCGCATTAATTGCCGACTTGTATGAAAAATCTTTGCAACGTTTTGACATGATACAATAATATTAAGTAGCTGATTACGGTTACTGGATGCCTCATTCTGCAAAAGAAACTTAGGCTGCTTGGTCTTCAGTCGACACGCATGTATTGAGCTATCGTCTGAGGATGGCTAGCTCAGCTTCTCCACTGCGTCGATGATTACACACAAGATGGCACACTTTCAACATGCCGCCATGCCGCCATGCAGCTACAACATTTCCTGAAAAACCTTTCGTGTTTAAATGCAGCGATCGTGAGGACTTGCGAGCAATTGAAGAGTTAACATATCACACACAGGCTGCCCACTAGAAATTAAGCTATCAGTGAAATAAAACGTTAGGCTCTGAATGTGTTGCGCAGAAATTTAATCTGAGTATCGGGATTTGTTTTTCCTCTAGCGAGCCATACAGTATTAGCGATTATACGTCTCCACTATATGTACCAAGATGATTGGCAAGGACTCTTTCACATATACAGGTGGATATGAGCTCGTGCATGGGCAGAATTCCATCTCTGGTTGAGCGCATGCTACGTCGCAGGCGTTAACATATTTGCTTTTTGGCTGTTTTGACTGAGGAGGTTACAAATTCTCTCCTGGAATTCAGCAGCCAACTTGTGCGCTAAAAATTATGCCAGTCGTATACCTAAACTGACTACAATTTTCTCGAACATAATAATCATGTGTAAAGTGAAGAGAACAAACGACCTATGCTTCTCATAAACATGCGATAAGGAGTCCAAAAGTAGTTTAGATATAATAATTTGTGCATACTTGACATAATAAGCACATAAAAAATATTCAGCTCATCTTGCAAAATTATGCATATCATCAACAAAGTGATGGTCTCCGCAGGATGTGTGCGACACGGCGAACTAAATGAAAACACGAAATCTGAAATAGAAGTTAGGGAAGAACGCATACCACAAGATAGATAACAAGAAATATTAACAAAGGTTTAGAAGCAAAAATGAAATTAGTAAATTTATTCAACATTAATTTAGTCGATCAAGTGCGGAGGTTTTCAAATTCGGTTTTGGATATAGATGTAGACATTTTGCGGCATGCCCAAGTGTCAGCCTCGATTGACAATATAGTGGATGCAGGCAACGCACTAAAATCCTGAGCTGGCACGCTATTTTCGTAACCCGTGATGCTACAACATGGGGAAAAGAAGAAGCAAATTAAGCTGTTGATGATGTGATTAGCTTCGTGTCACATGTTTTTGACATGATGCTAGTAAGAAGATGAACCGAATCGCAGCACCTCGTGATGCTAGAGTGCAATTAGTGGCTACGTGGAGTAAATTTGTGATGGTTGTGCTCGTGGGGATTGTAACTAGTCCTTTCAAGCATACTTTTGAAAGCAAGATGAAGTACTTTAATCGATAATATTCATAGCAAAGTGATGGGACCATCAAAGCGAAAACTGAAGGAGTATATGTTGCAGTATATAGTATCATTTATCGATGACAAACGATTCATGCATGTGTACCTTATTGCATCGAGGAATTTGGTGTATTGCGCTTGTGAAGAATCAGTACGAGCACAACATCAAGTGGACTAGCAGCGACAATGGAGACCAGCAAAAAGTTTAACTCATTTTGCACTCATTGAGGAGTTATTCACTAGAGAAGTGCACCTTCCCGTTGCAACAGAACGGCCTTGCAGAATGAAAGAATCGTACATTTACTAAGATGGAAAGGTCGATGATTAACTACGTTCAAGTAAAAAGGCACTGGTGGAACGACCGCGCATGGTTGCGGTCCGCAAAGTCAACTATATCCCCAACTTAAAACACATGATTCAAAGTCCGAATGAATTGAGAAATGGAAAAAGCCATCACTTTACTATTGGCGAGTGTTTGATGCTCGTGGATACGTCTATGGAGAAAACGAAACTAAGTGCCTTGACATCAAGCCTCAACCATATTCTTTCTCAAACAAAATTTACAAATTACCGTATAGTTGACGTGAAAAGGATAGACTCGAGATATAAAGGAGAATATGTAAATGGCAAAACTCACGCCAACAATAGATGACATGGCAACATGACAACGCGATATATAATCTTATATGTTGCACTGGTCTTAATTTTAAGCAATCTTTACCGCTGTGCATTGAGCGTCAAAAAATTACGCTAAGCTTAATGAGCATAAACACTGAACGGCACCACAAGACGAATGTCGCAACTCTACCAGCCTTGCTCAAGGTTAGATTATTTTTTATCGACATTAATAAGATATACGTCTAGCCAATTCTGCCTCAAGCTTCGATATTCGGATTAGTAATTTTTCTTTCTCCTTCTTTGCCTGATGTGCAAGCAACTTAGCAGCACTAAATTGACATTTGACCTCTTTTACTGCCTGGGTTTTCTTTTCGACCAGTACTTCCAGCGCTTTTACCGCTTCCATCGCTTCTCGAGTGTTATACGCACACTCTTTCTGTGATAAAGTTTTAAGCTGTACAAGTTCTGCGTCAAGCTCCTGAAACCAAGCAAGATTAATTCGGTAACTGAACAGTCAGGATATTAAAGCATGAAATCAGCTTACCTCAATTTTGTTGACAAGCATAACTTTTTGATTTTGCTCCTCATTGACTATCAATCTCAGAGCGTGCAATTCTTTCAAGGAGACATCTACAAACACACCCCGTGAATTTATTATTTTGTTCACCCTACGCTACGCATCACGTACCACTCTTCTTTTGTTCGTTCGCCAGCTCCTCTTCCCAACGACAAGCTTCGTCCACTAAAAGCTTCTTCTCCTTTTCAAGTATTCGAATTTTCTGATGTACTATGTCGCGCTCCTTCGCCCATGACTTTTGCTTTTGTTCCGATTCGTCCTGTAGATTCATTTCTCGAGAGCGTAAGGTTTGGATAAGCTCCAGCAGCTGCAAACGCTCCTCATCTTTCGCACTGGCATCCTCAACATTGAGATCTCGTATAAATAAAGTTTCTTCTTGTAACTGCAAGCATTTCTCAGCTAAAGCTTCTTTCTCTCTAATCAACTCGACATTTTGTTCTTGCTGACGATCTATTTGTTCTCTGAGAAAAATAATCTTGTTTTTCTTTCGCACAATTTGATCCTCGACACTGGTATAAAATGGAACAAAATTCAGAACTCGATATCATTCGAAATCAAATTACAAACTGACGCTCTTAATCTATCCAATTCCGCATAAGCTTCTGATAGCTCTGCGGCCTGAGCTTGAATGGTGACCGATTTTGAGGCATGCTGCAATCGCAGCTGCTCAATCTCATCGTGCCGTTGTTCATCTTTGCATAAACGTCAAAATAGTAATTGAATCTCAGCAAAACAGACAACCCACCATCAATAATGGTGTTATTGTTTGGTTCCTTTCCAATTCTGAAGTCACAGTCTCCTTCACCATCGCTATCGTATTTTTTCTGATCTTTTGGGAATGCAATGGGCAGATCATCTCTCTTAAATTTCTCCTCTGTCTGCTGAAACTTTTTTTCGAGTGCCTTAAGCTCATTTTCGAGTTCCTCGCGGGTTTTTGAACGAAATCGTACCGGACCTCCGACAGTTTTTTTTAACACAAAATCATTGACAATAGCCCTTGAGCTCTGAAATTCTGGTAATTTTTCCTGCAGTGTCTGCTTCAACACATCAATAACCAGTTCTTGCTCACGTTGCTCCCTCCGCAGCTTCTGAATCAATGCTGATCGGCGATGCTCCGACTCTTGAATTTTAAGTTCTTTAAGCTGATCCTGGAGTTGGTTAATCGAGCGCATCAGAGCTCGCACTTTCTGTTCATGCACTGCTTTGAGTGCACTGACTTTCGCTGCACCCCATAAAAATATTTGAGTTGATGCGAGATTGTGAGCTCACAGAATGATAAATACCCTCAATCGCCGGATTGACATCTGTAGCATCGTAAGAAATGCCATTTGACACTACCAATTTTTGCAGCTCTTGCTCGCGTTTTTTTTGACGCGCAATTGTAGCTTGCGCAGCGCGCAAGGCTTCCTGTTGTCACACAAGAAAGCATGCAAATCATTGAAAGCTACGCAATAAACAAAAATTCATTATACCCACTTCTGTCGCCTTCAAACGATCTGTCACGCTGCATTGATAAGAACATATTGATTATAGATGATCAGACCATCGGCACGGCGATGACATACGCATCTATAGACGTTATTTTTGCTTCAGTTCGGCCTAGACGACAAGTACTACTACTCATGGCACCACTTCTCAAGTTTGTTTCGTTCAAAAATGCAAAGTAGGAAAAATAATTAGATGAGACAAAGAGCAAGAATAGCGTTTCAAAAATAAACTCTTGAACTCGGAAAAGAAGCTGCGATCGTATAACTGCTAACTCATTCATTACACACGGCGACATCAGCGCTAACACTCGGTTGAAGAATGATACGATGATTATCCTACATTGCCGAGTAGAAAGTACAAGGCTAATCGGCTTACTGTGATGGTGGGGACGCGCTTTCGCGCCCTCGGATGAAAATTGTCCCATATCACGAATGTAACGTCACGCATCGACGATGCAACTAATTGGGCGTCGAGCCAGACACACCTTGTGTTATACCTTGTAGAGTCTTAGACGGCATGCATTTTTTTGGCTCAAATACCGCTTGCTCATAGGACTTGCAAGCGCAGTCACACCGTCACTTTTGTCTTAGGGTACGCTTTATTACAGTAGCGACACATAGCAAAAGGCTTAATCTGACGAGGAGGTCAATTCTGGATGAGGCACAATATACTTCATTTTAGTAGAAAAGAGACGTACGGCATGGTGAAAATTTGTACGGAAAGTTTTAGATGCACACACTTGTATACGCCCAGGTGAACGTGTCAAATGTTGAATCATTTGATGCATGCTTCGGTGCCTTATGTCAGCCTGTGCTGGCACCCCTTTAAAATGGATTCTCTTCTTGTTCTTCTGAAAGACGCTTCGGGTAATACTGATAATGTAGGATTTTGTCGACCAATTGTACAGAACGTCTAATCCTCTGCGTGCAAAAACTTCTTAGTGCGGATTACCACGATACTTCTGGTTCAGAAAGTTTAGCCATGACTTTTAAGAGTCCAACGTAGCGAGCACGAGATTGCGATGAATGTTCTTTTGATGTTGTCACCTGTAGTGTTACGCACGACAATCGAAGCAAAACCGATAATTTATTGGAAAAATAAATCATCGGCTTTGCTGATATCATCAAGACCAGAACCGTTTTTTAGAAGCGTCAAAGAGACGCGAGAACTTGCTGGACCATTTACAAAAGCGGACGTTAGACCTCCAGATTTACGAATCGCGCTGTTCATAACGAATTAATTTGAGTCGTAGGGTGTCTCTCCAGCATCTTAGTCGCTCCGCGCCTGTGCGCTCGAAGATGTCCGAGGCACAATTAGAAACCAAGGTACCACCACTTCACGTTGCCAAAGGTAAATTTCGTACTAGAGGTAACCAAATCTGATATTTAATATATTGGATTTACTTTAGAATCTTGATTAAATATTTTCGTGCCCAAGTGCCCCATGAAACTCTCCTTTCGCAGTGCCGTCACTCTGATCTCTCTGCTAGAAACTTGATCGCTATGGTGCTATTCAGTCAGAGTTCAATACTCAGTATCTAAAGCTTTGCTCAAGTCTGACGGATAGAAATGAAAGCTGGAACGTACATCATACAATCTTTCTTCCGACGCAAAAATGTAAGGGTATCAAACCATCCTTCTCAAAAACTATTCGCCGCCGCCGAGAATCCGTCGTAAAGCATTCAGAGACATACCTCCGTGTGAGCTCTAGTATTACGTTCAACGCCTAGATCTATACCGTTACGATCACAATTATCCTCGTTAATAAGATTCCTTTATCGCCTACCTCTCAATATGAGCTCTGAGAGTACGTATCACACCAGATCCCTCTGGCTTTTTGTTCGTTAAGTTTGCACATAGTACTGATATAATTTTTATGTGTGAAATACCTGGAAAAGTCACCAACATTACTACTACATAGTCCAAATCCAATGGCAGGACGCACTGTTTCCAGCGGCGACGTCGGGCGCCGCAGTGCGGCAGTGCAGCGTCTGATCGATAGCGCTGATCAGTCTCTTAGCCTTCTAGCCTCTTTTGGCGATTCCTCGGTACCGATGTTACCGCGGCCGTCGGGATTTGGCGCTAACAGTGCAAAATCACAAAGCACCGATAACTACGACACCTCGTCCGTCTCGAATGTTCCAGGCCGGTCTAGACTCGATGATCACATGAAACTTACAAAAAATCGACTGGCTTCTTTCGCAGATGAGGATGAGCGCTTGCTGGAGCCTGTAGTCAGGACATCGGTGCGTTCGGGGCTGCTGCACGTAAAAGGGGTCTTCCCAGATCAATCGACAGAGTTTGTGGACGTGGAACCCCATCTCACTACCATTGGAGATCTTAAGCGCGCACTTTGCGACAAGCGTAATTCTGCACGTGCTTTAGGCATTGTAGCAGAGGACGCCCGCATCATGTTCGGCGGACGTTTGGTTGAGGACGCGTGGCTCATGGTAGATTGCGGTTTGAACTTTGAAGGAGGAATTCACATTGTACGAGCAATGGCCACGGAAAAAACATTTTCGAGCAGAGAGAATGCCGAAGTTCCTGTTAGAAAGGTGCAGCGTGCGGATCCGAAGCTTTCTATTTCATCTATTTCGTCAGTGTATGCGGCGTCACAAGGGTCATTGGTGGTGGACCCATTAGCGTCATCTAATGACCAAGAAATGGACCAGCAAGCGAGCTACAGTCAGGCTCTGTCACTTAGTACAATCTCGTCAGTCAAAGGAGATTTGTTTTCGCGCCATGTGCGTCCAGAAGAAATTATGTTTGCCGAAATGGTAGAGGACTTTTATGAACACTTAAATGACGTAAACGACTCGGATCTGTATTGTGAAAGGCTGCTGAGTGGGTACATATCCGCGTTGCAAAACCGCCTGGAAAAGCTGGAGGCGTCAATAGCAGGTAGCTATGACATGCGCGGAGCGCCGACGCAAGCGCGAAAGCGACTACAGAGTGATATGAAGGAGCTGCGGGACGAGCGCAACACGTGGCGACTGCTATTTGAGCTGCGACGGGTGTGTCATTTGACGAAAGGGATAGCAGAATGTGGGGACAGTATTATAAGTACAGAGACGAACGAGCTGCGATTTGAAATGCTGGAAGACGACGCTGTGCGTCTGCTAGAAACTCGCAGTGAAACATTTCGGATTCAAAGAGCAGTAAAGATGTGGCTTGAGAGTATGGCGCTTGAGAAGACAGTCAATCTGGGCGGGAAGCGTGGTACCAGCGGGTCGCGCACGCTTCGAATGTTAAAGAGACAGGAATTAAAAAAAAACGTCGTTTATATGGATCCTGATGCGGTGGTGCGGGACGGAGATGCTCAAGTTTCGCAAGATGACTTGGAGGATGAAGCAGAATTAATGAAAGCGCTCTGGCTTTATGTCCGAGCTGGACGAATGGATGATGCAGTTGACTTGTGCATCCGTTTGGGTCAGTCCTGGAGAGCAGCGAGCTTATCAGGAGGTCATCCTGTTGGTGCCAGCGAATCTAATGAGCGCAGAAATCTGTCGTTGGAGAGATGGGGAAACCCTCTTCGCGCCCTTTGGAAATCAATGTGCTGGCTTTTATCAGAGCAAGGTTGTAGTGATAAACTTTCGAAGAGCAGCAGTCTGCTTGCAAAAAGTTATGAAGAGCTAATTTATTCAGCATTAAGTGGCAACATTCACGTAATTACAAAAAGCTCGCTATGCGAGAATTGGGAGGATCACTGCTGGGCTTACTTGCAGGGCATCACAGAGCAGCAAATTGACGAAGTTTTATACAACTTGCTAAAGGTAAAGACACAGTCGACGAAATTGGTCGTTGGGAACAATACGCATTACATACGCCATTATTCGAACTTGCTGGACAAGACGAGATATCTCAAACGCTACCAGGTCGACCTTGACACATTGTTTGAAGAGCTGCGTGGAAGCCAGAACGAAAGTGTGCGGCTACAGGCTCAGGAGCCGCATCGTCTGATTCAAGCCGATTTGGTCACTGCTAAATTTCAATTTATTGTGTCAAGTATTTTTGACGCTGTCCTCTTTCAACCAGACGATACCTCGTACCACTGGGATCTGCAGCTGAATCAAACTTTACAATGCGACAAAACCTCGTCACTCTTCATGCGCTTTGCTGCCCACTTCATTCTCTTTGCCAGCTTTACGGGGGAGCACTTTGACGAGCAGGCGGGTCATATGATTGTAAAGTTGTACATTCGACATCTAGTTAAACACCGTCAGCTGCAGCTCGTGCCAGTCTACGCGTCTCGGCTCCCTACAGTCGGTGCGATCGAAATCTATGTACAGATGCTAATTACTGTCGAAGATACGCTAGAACGTGAGCTTTGCGCGAAGAGAATTTTGAGTTATGCGGGGATGGACGTTTTGTCGACCGTGTTGCAAGCCGTTGTTGAACGACTAAGCGAAGAGTACAAGGTGATAGCCCAGACTCAACATGAGATGAAGAATGGGTCGTTGTCGTTTGACGTACCCTCGACGGAAGTTGACAGAAAGCGTATACGATCGATTGAGTTTTTATGCTTCTACCCTCAACATCGTGCTGAGGCGTTGATTCGTGCTAATTTTCTCACGCGGCAATTTATACGTGAAGGCAAGTTTGCTGCCGTAAAAGTACTTGTTGAGGAGAGCATGCCGGAGGATTCAGTTGGCATCCTCGACATGAACCGCGAATCTCAATTGTTGCGTGGGAGTGGCGAAATAGAGCGAGCCGTGCGCGAGTTCCTTTGCTGGCGCGCATACATTCAGGCTTGTGTGCAGTACGAATTATGGAGAAACTGCACTAATACTCCTGCGATGGCATTGTATAGCGAGGAGAAGGAATATCTGGCAAATCTCATGTTTCACGTATCAAGATCAGCTGCAGCAATGCTAGAAGTCTTGCACTTTGAAAATGGGTGGCTTTTGGGCTGCTCTAAGGAAGCTACAGAGGATCTTTCTCTACGCGAGCGCTGCTTGCCGACGTTAGTTTTTAATCTACACTTTATTCAGCTTGAATCAGCAAAGATAGTGATGCGGTTAAACCATTTTCCAGAAGATGCCAAGACGGAGCTTGCCCGCCCGCTTTTAGAAAAGTCGATTGAGGTCGCGGATGTCGTAGCGGACGAGCACTATGGGGTGTATCACACCTTGGACCAGGACCAATGCCGAGATTTGCTTCACGGCTTCCGTGAAAGTGCCGTGTCGCTGGCCTTTGTTGATAGCTTGCAGCTGCATTTCGAGTCAACTCAGGAATAATTTGTGTCATTAAAAAAATTCAAACATTAATGTCAACGACCGGTTATAAGTCTTTTTTTGTGCATTGACTTGCTAGACCTCTGTTCATGTAATTTATTGGGCGAGCCTTACGAATGTAGAATTGGTGCAGCTGACTTTGTATACGCGCCACCGGAATTGATAGCACCTATAAGGTAACTGTCACACAGCGTCCGCTCTTTATCTGAACCTTCAATGTAATTCTCCAGCATCTTAAATGGAATTCGCCATACTTGCGGAAACGGCATTCCAGGCTGCTTCCATGTCAGGGCGTGCTTATCCTGATTGTCACCGTTATTTTTTTTCACTAGCACCACTGTTTCAATGCCAAATTCAGGTGTAGCTGCTTCGAGCCGAACTTCACCCGTTCCGCTATCAACTAAAACTCGAGTATCGGGAGAAAATAGCGTAACGTCGTTTGACATGATACCAACTAAGCCCACAATGTCAGTCAGGATGCCATGAGTGTACGCTCCTTGCAGTTGAAGGACATCATAACCTTCTGGTGCTATAAAAAAGCGCACGTTTGATTCTCGGTATGCTCCAAACCACGACGAGCATTGCCTGGATGTGTGGAAACAAACGCCATCAACAACCGTAATGGCATCATTTTCACTATCCGGACGATAACAAACATCAATCTGCACAAGCTTTTCTCCTGGAGTTAACAAGACGCAGTGCACTTGATACGAGCTCCCAAACGCAAGATGAGTGGAATGGAGAAGATTGGCTGTTTTGTCATAACTGTTGGCGCTGTCAAAGGATTGCACAGACGTCACTTGGTCACAGTGAACAGCAATTAGGATTCCAAGTGGAGGCTCTATACGATAATGGTCGCTCTGATTTGTGACCGGAACCGTCTTCATAATCCAAAAGCGCCGCGCCTCTGATTGGAACTCCAACAATTTCTGGTCAGAGCTCATTTGAATACATGTTGGTTGACTATCAGCGCAGTAAAGGGCCCCTATTGAGCCCACATATTTACTTCCTTGAACGCCTTGGAATCCACAAATGTGATGACCTGCGGGGCTCTCCATTACTACATTGTCAGGCCCTCGACTTTGACCAAACCAAGGTCCAGTGCGCAGAGTAGTGCTCAGACGGATACTGTCAACTCAATGACCACAAGAAACTTCGAGCTTAAGCAGCTTTTCACTGGGAGAAAGCTGGAAAACGTGCTCATTCATACTATAAATATTTGAGTCCTTCGCATTTTGTGCAGCTTCTTCTATGGATATCATCTTGACGGATTCGACAAAATCGGTGCACTTGACGACTACGGCCCCAATTTTGCGAATAGCAGTTAAAAATGGCGTTTTCGGACCTTCCTCGAGTGCTTTGCCTGCTACAGTAAATGACATAATTGAGCTGCTTATTCCGTTAGGCTCCAGCGAGCGAGGAAGCAGGGATGAAGCTGGGGTTGGCAGACAGCGAACGCCAAGTCTACCGATATGCAAATCACCTCTTGATCCGAAAAATGAAGTGACATGCCAAGCTCTCGCAGCTTTGAATACATGAAGATTGCCACCAAGGCCACCATACCAACGCGAAGAACGCAGATTCGTGTTCAATTGAAGCCCATCGATCCACGCCATGGCACGAATATTTACACTATTTATGTATTCACCGTTTGCAAGAATGAACCAGTGTTTGTAACCAGTAGCACGGAGTGGCTCAGCGCGCATAGTTTCTGCCACTTGAGCGCGCGTCAGAGTTTCTAAATTATTTATATACTTGTCAGCATCGATCATCACAGCACCAAGTTCATCTTCTACAAGAGAGGACAGATGCGTTTCAGGAAGATCAATCATTATTGCATACCGTTCTGTCCAAGTCCGACAGGTCCAAGCACCGAGTTGTTCCAGATCACAGTAGGTCCTACAAGTGATGGCTTGGAATATCCTGATATCCATGGGCAGTGGCGAAGGAATTGAGCTGAAGCAGCATGCCAAAGGGCTCTCCCGCGGTTGTGGACTTGACGTAAAGAATTGTAGTTTAAGCTAAGCCAGCCGTGAGCATTAGACTGCCAGAAACTCATTTTTGGTGAACAAGCATCTGCTTCGTAGATACACAAAAGCCGATGCAAATCTTCAAAACCACGAGCCATAATGCCACTCGTTGAGTGTTCGAGACCAAGTGTATGACCAATCTCATGCAATATGGCTCCTATACCTGTGGAAAAGTTTGCCCAGTACGTACCTCGATAGCATAGCTCTAGCTCATCAATCCGCGTATTGTCCAAGCAGCATGACGTTAATTCACCAAGATGTGTCGGCCACGTGTGCAGTCCACACGACCCAAATACCCCTACCTTCTCCCCTCCAAGTGCAATATATCCCTCTGCTATTCTCTTCTGTACGTTATATTTCGAACACCCGAGTATTACTGCGTGTTTAAACTGCAGCTCAGAATGATCATTTAGCCCTGCATCTTGAATACCTTTTTGCACCAATTTTATAAGCTCCTGGCCATCGACCGAACGCGCATGAGCATTTGTGAATTTGCAACGTAGCAGTGTCACATCTGGCAGTCCATCATGTGCAAATTGCATCGCAAAGGTCATACGGGGCAAGCCCGACGCGTACATGAGCTCAGCCGTCGCCATTTGAAGCAGTAATGCATTAAAGCGAACCTTTCTAATGGCAACAGCAGCAGAATTGTCAACACCACGAGAGGCATCAAAACCGTTGCCAGAGTCGGTGTCCGAGCAGATTTGGTAGTAGAATCTAATCATGTAGCGAGTAATTCGAGGTCGGTACTCGATGGTTAAGACGGAATGAGCAACACTTTCTATTTGCAACGTGATAGCGAATGTTCCGGGTGATGGAAGAAGCACAAACGCTTTGAAGTGCCCAGAAGCTGTAATTGGCCACTGAGTAGGGCGCACGTCGTCTATACAAGCGTTTAGGAAGTGATGTTCGGTAGCTGGCGGGTCAATTAAGCGACCTTCAATCAGAACTAGCGGATATGAAAGCACTTCGTTCTCCACGAGGTTGTCTACAACGATTTGGGTCATTTCTGTTCCAAAAGAGACAAAGAGAGAATGATACAAAGCTTGTTAAATTTATCGCCTCATGCTTCATACCATCGAGTCTTAATCTTTCACTCGCTCCGCGTTCACACATCTTTCACTTTTTTCATAGATATTCGCCCTTTCAAATTCAAAAGCAAGATGTGCATGACAAAGACATGGACAAAAGCCAAATCAAAGAAAACTAATGCAGCATAAAAGTGTTAAAACCTAGCTTGTAATGCTTGTCGTTGTCGGAGCTATTATCGTCGTCTAATCAACAGTTGGTGCGCTCGTTATCTTCCGTATTATCATATACCCCTGCGTTATAATGTCGATTAGAAAAGGCTTATGTACGGCGTTATCTCCGCGCAAAGCATCGCATTTCCACACAGTATGTATGATCGTATTCGTCAGAATTCAACCCCCTTTGTAATGCATAGCGTGCTGAGTGTCCTTTGGTTTTTTGAACAGCCGAAAATAATCAGAAAATGTCATTCGTTTTCTTTCAGGGTGTAAGTCAATCGCAAAGACTTTGAAAGACGATTATTCCGACAGATCTAGCTACCGCGTGATCGATCCACGATAAATCTTAGGCGTTGTTCCGAGAATTTAATCTCTTAGGGCATGTCGGGGTGGGCGATCATGACTGTGACAAGTAGGCAGTTTTGTGTTGTGGCCTTTGACAAATGCGAGTTAGATGTCAACAGGCTCATCGTTTCAATCACCAACATTTAGTGCACCATCATATTTGAGTTTGTTATTGTTGCCATTGTTAGCGACAGCTTCATTAGCGGTGGATCGCACGCCGCAGCTACTTCTCAGAAGGCCGCACCATACACATCATAATGGGCATTGACGTAGTGATGGAACCTGTAGGCAAATCTGGGCGCGTTTTATTGGTTGATCACAGTGCTGGCTTCTGGAAGTTTCGGACAGTCACCTAGTTCGAAAAAGTCGTTAGTTTCTAGAAAAATCACGATTATAAAGCTATGAAAACTTATCATATAAAGCTACGCTTAATGAAAAAGTCCGACCACGGAGTCCTTGAATACTCTAGTTGCTATCTATCTGTGTTTTCCAGACCATCGCGGTTTCACACTCATTAAATTATTTGACAATGAGCTAGACTCCGTTTTAGCCTATCCATGATTAAATATGGCATGCAACTGATGCATATCTGCAACGCAATTGCCGTGTACCCTGCACTACGGGAAGCCTTGACATCTATATGCAGTAATGCACAGAAAATGGGCTTGTACGTTTAATCGGATGAGATACCAATAGCTTCTTGAGAAGATAATGTGTCATTTGCTACAATCCCGGCACTGATCTGATGATACAAAATCCATAAAATGTGCCCAATGTATTGTCAATAAGTAGCCCTGTGTAATGCATAGCTTGAGGCTAACATCCCACTCGCCCCACGTCCTCCTCCTTTGCGAAATCATACATATTAACCCATACTGAGTACTGGTCATGATACTACACAACAGTGTTTTACTTTGGTTCTTTTGAGCTTTGCTTTAAGTCCGAGAGATCAGTACGTATACCATGTAACTCAATGCGACATCTACCATCAAGTGAGTATTTATATGGGGTCATAATCATTTTATCTATCCAAAGCTATCACATATGAGAGAAATACCCAGTGCATCAGGAGACATCATCTCCAATTGCACCTACGCGTTCCTCCGCTCACAGCACATATCACGTCGGTAAAACTCTTTTGGACATGATCGCATGGCTGATCAAGTGAATGAGAAAGGCCTGACCTTCACGACCAAAGATATACGAGCTCAACGCGATGATGTAGCCAAGATTTACTTCGATACTAACTGTCAAATATACTGCCCAAGTCCCTGCCCGGCACTTGTGCCCTCACAAATAGCCATAAGGCAAAGGCAAGCTTGCTCGTATGTAACGCAAGATTCGCAGCGACTTTTGATGCAGTCACTCTAGACTAAATCGTGTCGTGCATGATGTGAATTCAATTCATTACGATTCAACCGCCGAGTCGCAGAAGTCCTCTACACATGCGTCTTGGGTCCTTCATTCGATATGGGCGCAAATCAAGCGTTTGAAAATCGCCACAGGTCTCTCCCTGAACCCGCAGATCTCAGCTCTTGCTCAAACTAGTCCCCCTTCGAGAATGGTATCTCTGAAACTAGCGATAACAAATATGTCAAAAACTTCATTTCTTTTTCGCACACTAGACGAAGAAGAGATGCCGCCTCATCCGCTAAACGCCATCAACAAGCCATCTTCTACGTCTCAGGTTTCAAACAAGGGTGTAACGGGGTTACATGAGAGTGACCCGTCACTCTCCCAAGGGAGCTGTGGTGTG